CCAGCCCCGCGCCACGCCCCCGCTCCAGGCCACGCCCCCGCCGCGCACCGGCGCTGACCCTCAGCAAACTCTTGTTAGGCTCGTCTGCTGGGTCATCCACCCACTGTTGAGCTTTATTAGGAAAAGGCATCTCCTCACCTCCACCCGGACGTAGTCACTTCCATAATCAGGTGGAACAGAGGGGCAGCGAAAGTTTTGTTTGCCGGAATGTAAAGAAACCAGCCAAGGGCAGAACACCGAAGGGCCAGGTTGTGGGACTGGCGTGCAAAGTGCTGTGTCTCTAAGCAAGTATCATCCTGCACCAAGAATATCTAGGCTCTGACCCTAGCCGGTTTGGCTCAGTGGTTAGAGCCTCAGCACCCCGACTGAAGGGCCCCTGTTCGATGGGGGCCAAGGGCAGGCACCTCCGTTGCAGGCTCCATCCCCAGCCCCCCCACCCTTAGGGCCCCTGCAGGAGGCAACCAGTGATGTGTCTCTCTCACATTGATGTTTATCTCTCTCTCTGCCTCGGTCTCTCTCTCCCTTCCAAGCTCTCTGAAAAGCAATGGGAAAAAAATACTCATATGAGGATAAAAAGAAAGAATATCTACTCTCTGTCTGGTCATCTCCCCACCACCTCGTGAAGAGCTTATAGCCTAAGTCTTTTCACTGAACCCATCAGGCAACAGCCAAAACGCATAGCTAGGGACTTAGTAAGTGCTCATGGATGTTTCTTGAGTGAATGAACAAGCAAAAAGCCAAATGTGATAAGAGAAATAAGCTGTAGGCCAAAAGATCCCATTAACTTTAACTGTGTCCCTCTGCCCTGAGGGCTTGTTCCTGTTCCCATCTGGGTTTTTAGGTCTGTTACAGGCTGTCTTGGGGAAGAGGCCAGAGTCCAGGGGAGTGTTTAGAGGTTCGGGGTTTTTCCCCAGCAGCTCCCCATCTCTCTGGTGTCTCTGGAACTTTGAAATGCTTCACTGAATCTTGCTCAGGTTCCCATCTAACCACCAAACTCTCGCTAGGCTCACAAAGGGAAAGCAGTTTGGGTGGGGGGGGGGTCCACCTCTCTCATGGAATGATTGCATTCCTTTAGGCTCTGGAAGAATATTTCACCTGCCACACCCTCCCAGATGCTTAATTCTGCCTGGTGATTCTGACCTAGGTTGAGATCTTCAGACCCAGAGAATAAATTCATGTGGGATCCCAGCCAGACAGGAGGCTATGCCCCACCCTCCCTTTCCAGTTCCATTCTGACATACTTCCCAAACTCATCTCACAGAATCCCCTTCTCTCACCCAAGTCCCTCCTCCCAAGTACCCTCCTGAAATCTCTACCAAAATCCACTGTGCACACACCAACCCTTCTCCCCTCTTCCCATGGCCCTGTTAGAATCTGTCTCAGTTTACCTTTCTCCCCTTTAGACTTCTCCTACACTGGAGGGGGCCCGGGAGCAGAAAAAGCCTCACAAACCTCTGAATTTCCTTGCCCAACAGGGCTCAGAGATGGCGGAAGAGGCCACAGCAGTCTGTCAGAATCAGGGAGAAGAATGCAAATACAAAGCCGATCCTTTCTTCTGCAGTGGGTATGACTGGAGATTAGTGACAAGCCAGGCCCAGGATGAGGAGACAAACTCTCTTCCACTCTGGGGTCTCTTACAGGCTGGTGCCTTCACCCAACACTGCCCAGATTCCTGGGTTTTGCTATCTTCTGAACTATTATTTCCTTCGTACTTTTCTTTAATTGACACACTTCCTTTAAAAGCAGATGTTTTTAAATTGTGCTTTATGGGGGTTGGGAAGCTGGGTGAAAAAGGTGAAGAGATTGAGCAAAAACAAACAAACAAAACTCAGGCACACTCTCCCTCTGGGGAGCTCCCCCTTGCCTTTCCCTTCTGCCTTTTCCTCTCCAAGGCACATTACCTTTGCCTTTATCTCTCCTCAGCTCCAAGGGCCCTTCTACTACCTCTGTAACTTTTTAAATAAACTTTCTCTTATAATTTGAATTAAAATAAAACTCATAGACACAGAAAACAGTATAGTGATTACCAGAGGGAAAGGGGGACGGGGGAGGTAGAAGAGGGTATAGGGGAGATAAATGGTGATGGAAGGAGACTTGACTTTGGGTAGTAAACACACAATACAATATACATATGATGTGTTATAGAATTGTACACTTGACACCTATAATTTTATAAACTAATGTCACCCCAATAAATTCAATAAAAAAAATCACCCTGGCCGGGTAGCTCAGTTGGTTAGAGCCTCGTCCCAATACACCAAGGTTTCAGATTCAATCCCTGGTCAGGGCACATACAAGAATCAACCAATGAATGCAGAAATCAGTGGAACAACAAATCAGTGGCTCTCCCTCGCTCTCTCTCTGCCCCTTCCTCTCCAAAATAAATAATTTTTAAATTTTAAAAATTGTGCTTTTACATCACAGCCCATATTGTCAACTTGCTATAAAAAGCTTATTGTAAAAAATAAGAGGACAGACTCCCCCTGGAGCATGCCCACGTCTTTCCTTCCCATTTCTTCCTAAGCCATGTTTTTTCTTCCTAAGTTCTAAGGGTCCCCTTGAGACTTGGAACCAGGGAAGCAATGGGCAGCAGCAGCTCCTCCTTGGCTTACCCTCTGAACCTTTTCTCTGATTTTTCAGTGAGCCAACAGCAGCCCTGCCTTGGCTTACTCCTGTCACTGTGACTTTAACTTCCCTGTGAGCCAAAGCAGCCCCATCTAAGCCCTTCCTTGTTTCACGGTCCCCAGCTTTAATAAATGTACTCTAAAATATATATAAATATATACATATATAAATAAGAGGATGATGCTATTAAAGTATAAATTCAGTTATGCATGCTGCCAAAGGCTCTGAGCCCCAGACTTGCTCTCTCTTTGCTAGGGTTAGGGGTCATTAACGATAGCCTAACACCAACCTACAACTTTCTCCTGGACATAATTGAAAGTATTAGAAGAGATTTGCAAAGGAAACAGCTTTCTCATTTCACGATGGCATATCCTCGGGTCTCTTGGCATCATCTCCAGTGATACCACACTCCAAAAATGGCGTGGAAAGGTAAGTGCTAGGCCTGGGCAGAGAGGGAGCAGCTGCAGAGGCAAGAAGGGTATAATGCTGTTTCTGCAGACCACCAGATGCCTACAAAGCCCAGCTTGTCTTTCTAACTGCCTCTCTTCTACCCCTCTGCCCCTCCTCAATCACACTGCCCCAGCACCATTATCTACTATGCTGCTCCTTCCACAGGCCATGCAGGTTCCTAGGCCTCTGCACTTTGCTGTTCCTTTCACTCCACAGCCAGGCTGGCCCACCCTTGCCCTTCTAGTCTGGGGTAGAAAGGGTTTTTCTTCCTCTGTGAGAGGACCAGACAGGAATTCATGTGGAAAACAATAGAACTGTGCTAGGCCCATCATGAATGAATGATCTTGGGCAAGTGACCTACTACTCTGATCCCCACTTTGCTCACCTGCCAATGAACCCCAGAACCTACCTTTCAGGGCTGCTCTGAGTACTAAATGTGGCCTGATGCAGAGAGCCCTCAAACATAAAAAGGCTCAGAAAGAGCTCAAGAAGTAGGTGCTATTGCCCCACCTGAGTGGCTCAGCTGAGTGGTGTCCTGTGCACCAAAAGGTTTTCAGTTCGATTACTGGTCAGGGCACATACCTGGGTTGTGGGTTTGATCCCCAGTCAAGGCACGTACAAAAGGCAACCAATCAATGTTTCTCTCTCACATCAGTAGTTCTCTCCCCCCACCCCTTTCTCTCTCTAAGGCATGTCCTCAGGTGAGAATTAAAAAAAAAAAGTGGGTGCTATTATTAGCACGACTATCTTCTGCTTCCTTCCTGAGTCCTCCTGGAAGGGGAAGCACAAAGCTCAGCACTGGGACCATGCAGGCCCATGCTCAATCCCACCTCCGCATCCTAGAGCTGTGGCACCTTAAACAGAGGCTTCCTGGCTCTGGGCCTGTCTTCTGGGCCTGTCTTCTCATCTGTAAAGTGGAGGTAACAGCCCTCCTGCCCAAGATGCTAGTGAGAGTCGGAGGAAGCCTGTGAAGGTTCTGAACTGAGCCTCATGCAGGGTGGCCCTTGATAAGTGTGAACATTAGTTATTAATGAGTGTTAAGGGCTCAGCATGGCATCTGGCCCATAGTAGATGCAAAGTAAGTGGAAACTGTTCTTACATATATTTATTTTAAATCATTTATTATTTAACCATGCTACCTGCTCTTCACTTGAAAACTCAGACATGGCTTCTTCTGCTGTTTCACAACGGATCCCTCAAACCATCCCAGTGCATTTTTTTTAGCCTCTGTGTGATCTCTGACTCCCCTTGGTCCCATGTCCCTCACTTTGAGGCCTCAGTTCTGAAATATAATTGACAAGTCCATTTTATCCAGCAAGGGCTCCTTTTATTCATTCAGGGTGGGTTTTTGAAACTCATTGCAACTTTATAAAGTCAAGGGTGCCAGGAAAGTGAGCCTGCCAGGTGCAGAGAAGCAAAAAAAGCTTGTGGAATGTCCAGCCCCATGGGCAGCCTCAACTAGCCTATAGCCACAGCTGTTGGCCCACAAGGGGCCGAGTGGACCTCAGAATGAGATCAGGGTGCCTGCTCCGTGTGAAGCTTAAGACCACTTCCATCTGTCCTCCTCATATACAACAGTGTGCAAAACAATCTGAAAATATCTTCACACGGGATCACAGAATCAGCTCCACTTGGCATCTCTTGGCCTAAGAAGCATTCTGGCCGTGCAGGAAGGGTCAGGCAGTTTCCATTCTTCCAAAAGTCAGGGCATCATCAGCTGCCTCTGGCCCTGTCAGCCCAGCCTTCACACAGGTGTCTCCTCTGCCACCTTCTTCAGGAGTCCTGCTGCCAGCAGGGAGTGCCGGGTAGCCTCTGAGCCATCTGTGTCCCGGATCTTTAGGTGTACTTTCTGGTTGGTTCTTCTCCATTCAGTGTACAGCTGGCAATGATAGCGGAAGGAGACCTGCGGGGCAGTGCAGGATGGGTGAGGCCAGCTGACAGGCCTCTGCCCCCAAGGGAGGGAAACTGGGCTCTTTGGCCCACAGCAGGGCCGGGCTTATGCTTCTAGAAGCAAAAACAGCAACCAGATATTTTTCATACAGATTATACACACAAACCCATTCACTATCCTGGGGAAAGTCCCCACCAGAGTTTAGGACCCTGCAAAGGTAAAGGGCCTCTCAGAGGGTGGGAGTGAAGTAGTATAGCCCCTTGGAAAGGATTAAATATCATTGGGTAATATAATTGCCAAAACTTGGAAGCCATCAAGATGTCCTTCAGTAGGTGAATAGATAAATAAGCTATGGGACATAGGAAGATGAAATATTATTCAGCACCAAAAAGAAATGAGCCCTAGCCAGTTTGGCTCAGTGGTTAGAGCGCTGGTCCGCGGACTGAAGGGTCCTGGGTTCAAGGCCAGCCAAGATTACGTACCTCGATTGCAGGCTCAATCCCCAGCCCTACTGAGTGCGGGAGGCAACCAATCAATATGTCTCTCTCACATCAATGTTTCTTTTTTTCTCTCTCTCCCTTCCTCTCTCTGTGAAAAGCAGTGGAAAAAATATCCTCAGGTGAAGATTAAAAAGAAATAAGCTATCCACCTGTGAATAGACATGGAGGGCCCAGTCAACATGGCTCAGTGGTTGAGGGTCGACCCATGAGCCAAGAGGTCAATGGTTCAATTCCCAGTCAGGCACATGCCCAGGTTGCAGGCTGAATCCCCAGTAGGGGATGTGCAGAAAGCAGCTGATTGATGTTTCTATCTCACTATCCCTCTCCCTTTCTCTCTAAAATCAATAAAAACAATATTTTTTAAAAAGACATGGAGGATCCTTAAATGTATGTTACTAAGTGAAAAAAGCCAGTCTGAAAAGGCTATAAACTGCATAATTCCAACTCTATGACATTCTGGAAAAGGCAAAACTATGGAGTTGTCAGGAGTTGAGGGTGGGGGAGGAGGTATGAATAGGCAGGGTACAGAGGATTTTTAGGGGCAGTAAAACTGTGTAATGGTGGATACATGTCATGATACATTTATCCAAACTTATAGGATGTACAACACCAGGATGAACCCTAATCTAATCTATGGACTTGGGGTGATAATGATGTATCAGTGGAGGTTCATTAATTGTAGGAAATGTACCCTTGCCCTAGCCAGTTTTGCTCAGTGGTTAGAGCATCAGCCCAAGGACCCAAGGGTCTCGGGTTTGAGTCTAGTAAAGGGCACATAGCTGGGTTGCAGGCTCGATCCCTGGCCCTGGTCAGGGTGCGTGCAGGAGACAACCAACTGATGTGTCTCTTTCAGGTCAATGTTTCTCTCTCTCTCTCCCTTCCACTCTCTCTGAAAAGCAATGGAAAAAATATCCTCAGTGAGGATTAAGAATTTTATATATTTTTTTTCTTTTTTATGATATCTTTATTGATTTCAGAGAGAGGAAGGGAGAGGGAGAGAGAGTTGAAACATCAATGATGACAGAGTCATTGATTGAGCCCGCAACCCGGGCATCTGTCCTGACCAGGAATCAAACTGCGATCTCTTGGATCCTAGGTCGATGCTCAACCGCTGAGCCACACCCAGCCAGGCGTTTTTTTCTAAATAAATGTCAATGGTTCATACTCTTTGACCAAGCAAGTTCCAAGAAACATTTGCATAGGTGATGCCCAAAGCACTGTTCATAACAGCATATAAAAAAAAGAAAGAGCCCGGCCAGGCGTGGCTCAGCGGTTGAGCGTCAACCTGGGATCCAGGCGATAGGGGTTCAGTTCCCAGTCAGGGCACATGTCTGGGTTGTGGGCTTGATCAATGACTCTCTCATCATTGATGTTTCTGTCTCTCTCTCCCCCTCTCCTTTCCTCTCTCTGAAATCAATAAAGATATATTTTTAAAAAAGAAAGAAAAACCAACATTGGAATGCATCCCAGATCCTATCAAAAGGGATTGGTTAAATCAATATCATGCACCCATACAATGAATGACTGCTGGGTGGCTGCTGGGTTTTTTAAAAAAAAACATTATAACAGTGAAAACAAGCAGACTGCAAAGCAGTACCTGTGTCATCTTATTTGTATTTAAAAAAATATGCTGGTGAATGCAACGAAAAATAATTTTTGAGACAGATAACAGTGGTTATATCTGAGGGGTAAGACCTTACAGTGCCCTTTATTCTCTGAGCAAGGGTTCTAATGCCTGCCAGTGGCTGAAACAACAACTCCACCCCAGACCCCCTCTCTCTCTTTCAGTAGCTTTTTCTCTCAGTCTCTTGGTCTACCCCTCTCTCAGTCTCTTATTCTCCTGCTCTTACTCTCTGTCTTTTGGTCTTAGTCTGTCTGTCTCTCTCCCCCCTCCCTTTCTCCTCCCTCCTCTCTCCCCATCTCCTTCCAACTCAGTCCAGTCTTGGAGGGCTCCTGGATGGGGCCTGCACTCAGCACTGGTGATCAGGTGCCTTGGTCTCTTTGGAGCAGAAGGGTCACCCAGCTCAGGCTTCCCTAAACCTTGGTCAGGTTTGAATCTGAATTTCCACCCAGGGCCACATGGAGAGACAGGCAGGGATCCCCCCCACCCCAAGCCACTGACCAAACCCCTAGCCTGGCTGCTGTAAGCCAGAGACCCCTAGACACCTGCCCTCTGGCTGAAAGCCACTCACCAGCGTCCAGAGGACATAGATGGTGAAGAGGGCGATGGTGAGGGCAATGAGCCCCACAGCCTCGAGCCGGCTGTGGAGCCGGAGGTGGTCCTGGGCCCCACGCAGGCAGAGCCAGCCCGAGATGGCAGCCAGCGGTGTGATGAACAGGAAACACACCATGTCACAGCACAGCGTCCGCTTCTCTGTCCGAGGCCCGGGGTCCTTCAGCCACTGCCAGGGGTAAGGAAAGGGAGGGAGCTGCTGAGAGGGGCTACATACCGCCCTCCAGCTATCCCCAACCTAGGGATGGGATACAAGACCTCCAGACCCCGTGCCTCCCTCTGCTGACATCCCTCATGACTACTGGGTCCTACAGGATCAGCCTCCTACCTGGCACCTCCCTCCCTCCTTTCCATTTTACAAATACTTAAGCCTATGATGAGCCAAGCCCTGCTGGGCACCTTTGTCCCATTTTACAGATGGGGAAACTGAAAGGCATAGAGGGGCTGACTCATTTGTGCAAACTCGCACAGCTAATAGTTCACAAAGCCAGGACTGGAAGTCAGGAAGTCTTGCCCCAGGGTCTGTGTGCCCTTGACTGCTGTGCTACACTGCCTGCCACAGATGACTGGGCAAGAGAAATGGGCTTCACTCATGGAATTCTGGTGAAGAGAACAGAAAGGGCCCTGCCCTCCCACGCTCGTGGGGTGAGATACGAAACGGAGTGGGCGCTCAAGGAGGGGAAGGCCTTTCTGAGGAGGTGACATTGAGGACTAGACGAGCAGAAGGAGCCATGTGAAGAATGGGGGAGACAGCACTCCAGGCAGCAGGAAGAGCAGATGCAAAGGCCCTAAGTTGGGAGTGTGTGGCCTGAATAAAGTACAGCTGGGAGGAGGCCCATGTGGCTGCAGCATGAGGGAAGGAGGCTAAGGGCAGGGCAAACTCTCCCTCCCACTGTTCAACTAAGAGCCCAGCTCTCAAATGTGTCAGGAACCTTTCCAGAAGCCCATACCTCAGCCCAGTATCACCACCCTGTAGCTCTCAGCTGCCTCCTGCCAGGCTGGGCAGGGAGGAGCCTAAAAAGCATGCAGGCGGCCAGCAGAGCTCGAGGGAGCAGGGAGACCACCACACCTGGGAATGCCCTGTCTCAGCCCTGATACATTCCACTCAGGCTAAAGTCTAAACTCCCAGGCAAGGACCATAAAGCCCAGTGTGGCTACTACCGCCTCCTTCTGGGCTATTCTCCTCCTGCTTTAACTCGCTCTACTCTAGCCACTTGAGCTTTGTCAAATACACTAAGCTCTTCCTGGCTTCAGGGCCTTTGCACTTGCTGTGCCTTCTGCCAGGACTGCCCTTCCCCAGTTTCTTGGCATGGCTGGCTCCTTTTCATTCCTTAGGTCTCAGGTTCAGAGGTCACTGGAAGTGACGAAATCAGGGAGGGGGCAGCTCTGGAACCTTAGGGTTTGTCCAAAACAGGGTTTGTCAGTTCTGGAGCCTTAGGCCTAATCCCCCGCCTCCCCCAGGATCAGTAGAATCTAACCTGGAGTGGAGGAAGGAAAAATGTCCCTCCTAGAGAAGTTGCTTCCTCAGCCCACCAGGATCCTCCAAGGCAGCTCCCTCCTCTGGACCCATGCCTGCCTTCCTTCCTTGCCCACTCCAACCTCAGGCTCCTAAGCATACCTCTGTGAGGGGCCGGGGTCGCTTCTCCACTGCAAACTCTGTGTGGCACAGCTCACAGTAGCTGGTGTTGGATGAGGAAAGCCACCTCTCCAGACAGCTCTTGTGCACAGCGCCCAGCGTGCCGGTGCAGCCACACGGAGACAGCAAGCTCTCCCCATTCGCTCCCTCATGGCAGATCCGGCAGAAGGGGCCATCGCTGGACACAGAGATGGGACATATGAGCAATGATCAGGCTTTCTGCCTACATGCCTGCTTCACTACCCATTGAATCACAAGCCACTTGGCAAACTTCTATTCATCCTTCAATGCCCAACTCCAAATGTCCTTTCCTTTGGGAAGGCTTCCCAGACTCCCACAGATGGAGTGATGTGCTCTCTCCCCAAGGTTCCTGCAGCACCTTTTTAGGCACAGGGTGAGCATCTCTTATACCTGTCTGCCCAGTGTCCACTCATTTTCTTGCAATACCACCCTGATTGTCCTGGGAAACCACCCCATTCTTTTTTTTTCTTTTTTCTTTTTTAAATATATCTTTATTGATTTCAGAGAGAGGAAAGGAGAGGGAGAGAGAGAGATAGAAACATCAATGATGAGAGAGTCATTGATCAGCTGCAGCCCGCAACCCGGGCATGTGCCCCGACCGGGAATCGAACCCTGATCGCCTGGATCCTAGGCCAACGCTCAACTGCTGAGCCACGCCTGGCCGGGCGACCCCATTCTTTTTGTTAGTTTGTTAATCCTCACCTGAGGATATTTTTTTCATTGATTTTTAGAGAGAGTGGAGAGGGAGAGAAACAGAAAAGAGAGAAACATCGATGTGAGAGAGACACATACATTGGTTGCCTCCCACACACTCCCCAACCCAGGCTGGGTGGCAAACCCACAACCCAAGTACATGCCCTTGACTGAGAATTGAACCCACAACCCTTTGGTATGTGGGCCAATGCTCTAACTACTGAGCCACACCAGCCAGGGCAACCACCCCATTCTCTCTCTTTAAAAAGTTTTTATTTTTTATTTTTAAAATATATCTTTATTGATTTGAGAGGAAGGGAGAGAGAGATAGAAACATCAATGATGAGAGTCGTTGATGGGCTGCTTCTTGCACGCCCCCTACTGGGGATCGAGCCCACAACCTGGGCATGTGCCCTGACCCAGAATCAAACCACTATCTCCTGGTTCATGGGTCAATGCTAAACCACTGAGCCACACCAGCTGGGCTCTTTTTTTTTAAAATCTTCACCCAAGGATATTTTTTCCATTTCTTTTTAGAGAGAGAGTGAAAGGGAGAGAGAGAAAGAGAGAAAAACATCAATGTGAGAGAGATACATCAATTGGTTACCTCCCATGTGTGTCCCAACTAGAGCCAGGGATTGAGCCTATAACCAAGGTACATGCACTTGACTGGAACTGAACCCAAGAGCCTTCAGTCCATGGGCCAATGCTCTAACCACTGAGCTAAACCAGCTAGGGCAACCACCCCACTCTTTTTTTTTTTTAAATATATCTTTATTGATTTCAGAGAGAGGAAAGAAGAGGGAGAGAGAGAAATAGAAACATCAACGATGAGAGAGAGTCATTGATCAAGCCCGCAACCCAGGCATGTGCCCTGACCGGGAATCGAACCCCAATCGCCTGGATCCTCGGTAGAGATGCTCAACCGCTGAGCTACGCCCGGCTGGGCCAAACCACCCCACTCTTAATTCTTAGTCTTCAAGGACTAAGACAGAGCTGATGATACCCCTGATAACCTCAGGCCTGACCAATCAAAACACCACACATCACTGGGCACTGGACCAACTTAGATCATGTGTGATGGAATCAGAACCACAGGGAATTAATTCCTGAAATCACCTCCCCCCCCAAAAAAAAAACCTCCAGAACTACAGGCAGCACAGTTGATGTAAGTCTAGAGTTTCTGGTGGCAGCCTGGTCTCCACATGGAGTCTGTGAATGATGCCAAACACTGAAAAAGAGAGGAAAGCAGAACCAAAAGACAGGGAAGGACAGGTTCTTTAGGAGATCAATCAGAGGCGCTGGATCTAGCCATACCTAAAGACCATGCTACCTGAAGAACCTGTGTGTCCAGGGAGAAGAGCTCCTCTGCTCCTCTTCCCTGTGAGGCTCAGAAAACAGACATATAAAGCATCACAGAGAGTCCCTTCCGAGAGGTCTCAATCCTCACCTGGTCTCTGGGGATGCCGGTCCTTCCCCTGAGGCTTAGGAGAGTGGGGGTGTGGCCTTGGTGGGCCCAGAGGCTGTCTAGCACATGACTCATTGTTTTCCAGACATTTCTGCCCAGAGAGGGCTGTGGAACATGTGAAGGAGGCGGGACAAGAAAGCAGTTTTGTTTTTGTTTTTTTAATTTTTATTTATTGATTTGAGAGAGAGAGAAAAGAAGGGGGAGGGACAGAGAGAGAGAGCGAGCGCGCAACATCAATCTGCTGTTCCACTCATTTATGTACTCATCGGTTGATTCTTATATGTGCATTGACGGGGAACTGAACCCACAACCTTGGCATACCGGGATGATGCTCTAAACAACTGAGCTAGAGAGAGAGCAGTTTTCTAGAAAATACCAGTTTGCTCTTGGAAACTGTTTTCCATTCTTGACTCAGCAGCTCCTGCAGGGGCAGGACCTGGCTGCTTTGAAACCAAAGAGCTGAGCTGACCACTCATGTCTGCTTTCTGTTGCCAGTCTGGCACAGGGTGCTGCTTTCTCACAGAAAGTCAAAAGGGCACTCCTAGCTACACTCTCGCCCCACACCCTGATTCCATTCCCACTCCCCTACCCCCCCACACACAAGTTCAAAGGAAAGGCATCCCAGTTCTGGAACCCAACCTCAGGAAGTAGAAGTGATGAGAACCTTGAGGAAAAACGACATCAGTTTGGGGTTTGTCCTGGGAAACCTTACTTTGGAGAAGCAAGTTCAGAGAGAAAAACAAAACAAACAAAACCAGATTTATCATTGAGTACTTATGTACTGAGCACTGTTTGAAGTTCAACATCTTGGATTCATTTGTCTCATTCTCACAGGAAGCCTAGGAGGAAGGTGCCCCCATTTTAGAGATGGGAAAACTGGAGCTCCAAGGGGTAAGCTCAATTATGCAAACTCTCTCAGCTAGTTATCTGCAAAGCTGGGATTTGAACCCAGGAACTTGCTCCAGGGGCCTGTGTACCCATGGCCACTATGCTACGTATGCTGCCTGCAACAGATGGTGGGGAAAGAGAAATGGGCTTCACTCAGGAAAATAATGCACATAATACAGATGGGAAGGAAATGGAGTGGGGAAGGGGGTGAAACAAGCATAGATCCCACTGGGCTGCCCAGAGAATGCTCCAAGATCAAAGGAAAAGGGAGAGTGTAATCAAGTTAGAAAACAAAGAGGCAGTAGTGGTAGGCCAGGTGAAAGGCCTGGGGATGCAGAAATGCTCTGGGTAGTTTCCAGAAGGGCCTGGGCTTACTCACAGCCTGGTGGGCAGAGCACTGGAGAGTCAGAGGTTATAGAGGCCCCAGATGCCGGCCCCAAGCCTGAGCCTTTGTGGATTGTACTGGGTCCTGGAGACACCACCTGGGCCTTCCTCTTTGTCCTCTACAGGTTTAAAAGTCGAGAACTTTCTGCCTCACCTAGTCTCTGCCATGGGCTCCCAGGAATCAGGGTCTCCTTTGAAGCTAAATAAAAGGCTTGATTATTATTAAGGCACTGGGTATTATCTTTGAGCCCCACCCTGCTGCTCTCAGATGACAGAGGGTGGCTAGGAGGGGGAATTAAGAGGGGAAGAAGAAGGCAGGCAACTGGTGACCTGCTTGCATGGGCCTCTACCAATCCCCAGGATGTGCTGGCAGTGGCAGGAGGATCCTCATTTACTCTGGGGAGACTAGCCAGGAGGCTGGAGGGAAGGCCACATCTCTGGATGATAAAAGCTCTTTGGAAAAACAGCAGCTTTCCCTCTGTGAAGGGCCAATCTGCCCTGGTCTTCAGTCTGGACAGGTTGGGATTGAATTGCATCAAGAGGCAGAGGGGAGAAGCTGTTGGCAAAGAGGTGGAAGGGCAGATCAGGAGGGCCTAGTGGTGTCAGAGGGCATAACTGTCCTGGCCACCAGCCTAAAAGCAGAGGGGCTGAGCTTCTCCCCTGCTTCTCTCTCACCCTAGCAGAAGCCTTGGGTCCAAACCTCAATTCTGCTCAGTGACACTGGCAAGTGTCTGCTTCCCCCTGACCTCAGTTTCCCCATGTATCAAGAGGAAGGGTGGGGCAAGGTGGGGTTAACTCACTCAGTGCCCCTCATGAATCCATGTAGGGAGACCCCAGCTTCAGTCAGCCTCCTCCCCATCCCCCTGCCAGGTTGCTCTGGCTAATAGACCCCTGGCCTTTCCAAGTGTCCCCCTTCTACAAGCCTGGCTTGACCAGAACATGGTCTTGCCTTCAAAGGATCTGATGAAGATACAGACTTAAAAACCCTGTAAACTGCTGCAGCCACTATGGAAAATGATATGGAAATTCTTCAAAAAGTTAAAAATAGAGCTGCCCATATGACCCAGCAATTCCACTTCTGGGCATTTATCTGATGGAAACAAAAACATTAATTCAAAAAGACATATGCACCCCTACGTTCACTGCAGTATTATTTATAATAGCCAAGACATGGAAGCAATCTAGGTGTCCATCAACAGACAAATGAATAAAGATGTGGAGCATATATACGATGGAATATTACTCAACCATAAAAAATGAAATCTTACCATTTGCAACAACATGGATGGGCCTCTATAGAAGGTATTATGCTCAGTGAAATAAGTCAGACAGAGAAAGACAAATACCATATGATTTCATTTATATATAGGATCTAAAGAACAAAATAAATGAACAAACAAACAACTCAAAAACAAATTCACAGACACAGAGAACAAACTAATGTTGCCAGAGTGGACTAGGGGATGGGTAGGATAGGGTAAGGGCATTAAAAAGTACAAACTTCCAGTTATAAAATAAGTCATTAGGATGTAGTGTACAGCATAGGAAATACAGTCAATAATATTGTAAAGACTATGTTACTAGACTTATTGTGGTGATCACTTTGTGTAATGCATATAAATGTTGAATCATACTGTTGTACACCTGAAACTTATATAATAGTGTACGTCAACTGTAAATAAAAATAAATTTTAGCCTGGCCGGGCGTGGCTCAGCGGTTGAGCGTTGACCTAGACCCAGGCGATCAGGGTTCAATTCCTGGTCAGGGCACATGCCTGGTTTGTGGGCTTGATCCCCAGTTGGGGGCGTGCAGAAGGCAGCCGATCAATGACTTTCTCATCATTGATGTTTCTGTCTCTCTCTCTCCTGCTCCTTTCCTCTCTCTGAAATCAATAAAGATATATTTAAAAATAAAAATTTAAAAAAAATAAATTTTAGCTGTAGCCGGTTTGGCTCAGTGGTTAGAGCCTTGGCCTGCAGACGGAAGGGTCCCGGGTTTCATTCTGGCCAAGGGCACGTACCTCGGTTGCAGGCTTGATCCCTGGCCCTAGTCGGGGTGAGTGCAGGAGGCAACTAATCAATGTGTCTCTCTCACATCAATGTTTATCTCTCTCTCTCTCTTTCTCCCTTTCACTCTCTGAAAAGCAATGGAAAAAATATCCTCAGGTGAGGATTAAAAATAATAATAAATAATAAATTTTAAAAAACACAACAGCATGCTCTCCCTCCCAGAAGCATACCCATGCCTTTCTTCCCTCCCAGGCATGCATCTCCTAAAGATGCATGAAACTTGCAACCAGGGGAGCAATGAACAGTGGCAGCTTCTTCTGGGCTAACCCCCTAAACTTATCTCTAAGGCCCCCTTTCCTCTGACTTTCCAGTGAGCTAGAGCAGCCCCACCTAGGCTAATTTCTTTCCTATAACATTTCTAGAGAGCCAAAGCAGCCCCACCTAAGCTCTCTCCTGTTGCTTCTTCTATCCTAAGCCCTTCCTTGTTTCACTGTCCCCAGCTTAAATAAATGTACTCTCAAAATAAAATAAATAAATATCTTAAAAGGCAACATAAAAAGATAAAATAAATAAATAAATAAATAAATAAATAAATAAATAAATAAATAAATAAAAGCATGGGAACAAAAACAAACAAACAAAAAAAACTGCCTTGGGGGCTAGAAGGAAAACTGCCAATCTCATCTGGGCTCAGGCAAGGCTTCCTGGAGGAAGTGACACCAGGCAAAGACTTAGTGAGTGGCAGTGAGCTCCCTCCAAAGCCTAGCAAAGCTTCCATCTGCTTCTTTTTATGTCTGAATGAAAAACTTATGAGTGAATTCTGATACCTGCTACAACATGGATGAACCTTGGGGACATTAAGCCAGATAGAACAGAACAAATATAGTGTGATTCCACTTATATAAGAGGTTGTAGAGGAGTCAGATCCATAGAGACAGAAAGTAGATGGTGGGGGCCAGGGGCTGGGGGAGGGGATAAGGAGTTGTTGTTTAATGGAGACAGATTCAGATTTACAGGATGAAAAGAGTTATAGGAATGGATGATGGTGATTGCGCAACAATGCGAATGTACTTAGCACTACTGAACTGTGCGCTTAAAATGGCTATGATGGTAAATGTTATATGTATTTTAACAAAAAAAAATTGAGGGAAAAAGCTTATGAATTAAATCATATCAAATAAACAATACATTAAACTTGAAAAATTGTTGCCTACTTTAAATTTTAGTGAGTTAAGATGGATTTAAATTTGTGTGGGGTTTTCTTTTTTTTAATATATCTTTATTGATTTCAGAGAAAGGAAGGGAGAGGGAGAGGGAGAGATAGGAACATTAATGATGAGTCATTGATCGGCTGCCTCCTATATGTCCCCTAATGGGGATCGAGCCCACAACCTGGGCATGTGCCCTGACCGGGAATTGAACCTAGATCCCCTGGGTTTTAGGTTGATGCTCAACCACTGAGCCACGCCCGGTTGGGCTGTGTGGGGTTTTCTTAAAACTCTTTTCCTTGGAACTTATGACAAATTGGTGAATCAGGCAGATTTAGCTCACAGATGGGTCTGGAAGGCCAACAGTGAGGTTTAAACACATTTATCGAATACTGACAAGGTGGTAAACCCACCTGTGGGCACTCAGTGTGGACCATGGCAATGTACTCTCAGCACAACCCAATAAGGAAGGTGTCTCCAATTTAGAAATATGGAGGTAAAGCAACTTGTCCCAGGTCACACAGGGAGGGAAGACCCCCCTCAGCATTTCAGCCCAGGTGCTATATGAGTCACCCTCTGCACTTCTAACCACTTCCTCACACTGCCTCTCCGAAACAGGAGCTACTCGCTACATTTCATCTTCCTATTTCATGCAATAATCTGGAGTTTTGGCTTTTCCTGAAGAATCAGAACTTCCCGGCCTAGACTCCTTTCTCTGACCCATTTAGATGACTGGATTTCTGACCCTAGACTGGGAGGAAGTCACTGGCCCAGAGAATGAAGTGAGTGGAGGTAGATATACCTGCTCGATTACCACTCACCTCGGTGTGTCCAAGGCCCGAATGACAGTTGAGAGCAGGCGGCCGTCCCTTGAAGTCACCTGTGCCACATACTGGGGTGGTCCTAGGCCTGTGGCTTCCACGACCTTGGAGAAGGCAGGGCTGCTGGAGCAGTCACACAGGGATCCAGGGAGGTGGCAACAATCACCCGTCGTCATGGCCACAGGGAGCACCAGGTCCTCAAGGCCCAAGGCCCATAGTCCCAGGAGCCTGGGGAGAGGCCAGCAGGGAAGTGAAGGGTAAGGTTAGTGAGTTGGACACAGACCAGGGTTTGAATCCAGCTCTCTAAGTCTCAGTTGCCTATAAGATGGAGCTTTGTAGGAGCTGTGAAGATTCAAAGAGATCACACATACAACTCAGCCCAGGCCTAGCACACAAGGACTTGGTTATATTACCTCTAACTCTCCTAAGAAAGCCCGGTCCAGCCTTCAAAGCTTGCATGCCATGCCCATCTTCACTTTTCCAGATATGGTAACAGCATCTAACCATTACTGAGCATCTGCTGTATGGCATGCCCTTTTCTTGGCGCTTTCCAATGCCAGAACCATGCCCACCAATCATGCAGAGACTGGTTCTGAATTCCCAGGACTGGGCTCAGAACAGATAAGCCTGCTTCTGAATGGGGCACAACAGACCTAGCAATTTGGCTCTACAGACAAGGATGGTAAGTCACCTTGATCCATCTGGTTCATGGCCTCTTGTACAACTCTGAACTCCTTGGTACTTCAGACCATCAAGGAAGTGGCCCAGGCTGGGGAGGACCTTGGCAGCCTCTGTTCCCACCAGAAGAGCTGCTCTAAGCCATGCCTGTTCTGGAGGTGAGGCCATGGGAGACAGCTGGAGCCTCAGACAGCAATCTGAAGTTAGCTCTGGGTGGGTGACTTGAGCAAGTTTTGGCCCCCCACTCTGGGGTCTGTCTGACCTGCCAGGAGGAACCCTTGGCAACCCTTTTGTCCCTCCCAGAACCAGCCCGAAGATGTGTGTGTTTCCCTGTGAGAATTTTATGAAAGTACTAGATGCTCCTCTCAATGCCTGTGGAGGTCAGTACAAGTGCCCTGAAGCTAAGGATCTGTCCCCAAGTTGTCTCACCCTTTACTCAGGAACTTTTTAAAAAATTTTTATTGATTTTAGAGAGAGAAGAAGGGAGAGGGAAAGAGATAGAAACATCAATGAGAGAGAAACATCAATTGGCTACCTCCTGCATGCCCCCTACTGGGGATCGAGCCCAAAACCTGTACATGTGCCCTGATCAGGAATGGAACCTGCGACCTCTTGGTACATGGGTTGATGCTCAACCACTGAACCACACTGGCCAGGCATACTGTTTTGTAATCTTCACCCAAGGATATATTTTCCACTGCTTTTCAGAGAAAAGGGGGGGAGAAAGAGAGAGAAACATTAATGTGAGAGAAACACATGGATTGGTTGCCTCCCGCACATACCCCAACTAGGGCTGGGGATCAAGCCTGCAACTAAGGTACATGCCCTTGGCCAGAACTGAACCAGGGGCCCTTCAGTCCACAGGCTGACGCTCTAACCATTGAACAAAACCGGCTAGGGCTATCTCAGGAGCTTTGAGCTAGAGACCCCAGAAATACTTACTGACATACCCCACAGTCAGCTTTAACCAACTCCTGCGAGTTAAAATCTGAGAGACAGAGCTAGGGGAAAGCAGCGTAAGTTATTGACTAACTTTTTGCACCAGGATAGTCTGCCAACAGATCAGTGCCCTCTGAAAAGCTCGACCAGCAGTGTCCTAGCTTAACATGCCCTTCTGAGCCTCCATAATAAGGCCAGATAAACAAGTTATCAGCCAGAGGCAGGAGGAGCCAGGAGGAAGGATGCCTGACCGAGATAACATCTGAGGTGCAGTGAGTTGTCTGCCATGTTGTGTATGCTGCTGTCCCTTCCATGTGCCTATAACCAGAACTTCTGGCCCAGAGGTCAGAAGGAAAGCAAGTGGCCTATCCAAGGGAGTGCTCCTGCCCGTCCAAGGATCAGCCTTAACATTCCTGCAAGGAATTGGGCATTACAAGAATCATCACAGCTCCTATATATTAGTTCTACAGTTTCTTTTACTATCAGGGGGGAAAAACTCACTGGTATATCGGCTAATGTAAGGCCTGCAAATGGCCAAAATAATAACAGCAGTTACTCTTTATTAAGGACTGCATACCAGTACTGTGCTGAGCTCACTGAATTCTAAACAGTTAAGTGTCCCCTTCAAAGGTCACCTCCCCAGAGAGACCTTCCCTGACCATCCCGTCTAAAGTGCCATTGATGCATTGATGTCCACATTATTGCCCTCAAAGAATGTGCCCCGCTCTGAGATGCTCTTCTTCATCTACCTGTGTAACCACATCTGTCTTCCACACTTCAGTGAGCTCTGTGAAGGAGGGACTTGCTTTCTGCTGTCTCCAGCGCCTGGCCCTGTGTCTGGCACAGAGTGGCTGCATTAATTTCTCAGCCCCTACTCTGTATAAGAGCAGACCTGCATTATTGGGAACAAGGTCCCTTAGTCTGCTAGCTCCCATGGAGGGAATCAGATGTTTAGAGGCTAGAGGTCCTTATAAACCACAGAGGCCTGGGCTCAGAAGAGACCAAACTCGAGGCTGGACACAAGGATGGAATGGCTACAGGCTGGACTTAGCTCTGGGGCTGCTGGGATGGGAAAGGGAGTCAGTGTCTAGGGCAAACTTGGTTCAGTGACCTGGAGATAGATTTCACTGAGTCTTCACAACAAACCTATGAAGTAAGTCCAATAGTTACCCCCATTTCATTTGCGACTAAGACTCAGAGAAGGACAGTTACTTGTCCAAGGTCATACAGGTAAGAAGGAACAGTGCCAGAATTTAAAGTTAGTCCAGTGAGTGGGTCTGGGACTCAAAAGACCTGTTTTTTTTTAAAGTCCTGACTCTGCCATTGGTGCTGGATCCTGGGACAAGTCACTTTGTTTTTCTAGGCCTCATCCTTCTTTGTCAAATAAGTTGATGGAGTTGGTGGACTGTGTCTGCTGAGGGGCTTCCTGAGGAGGATCTCCAGGCTCAATTCCTCCAGGGAAGCTCACCCTTAGCTAGGCTGATCTGGGTGGCACTACGGCACCACAACCTTTTCAGATCTGCCCTAGTCTCCTTTACTGAAGGCAGGAAACTGAGGGAGGAGAAAGCAGAGAGCCATAACTCCCCATAGTGTGATCTCAGGCCAGCTGCTTCAGTCTCTGGCCTCGGTTTTCTCATCTATAAAATGGTAGTCAAAATGATACCCAGCTCAAAATTCCATAAATATTAAGAAGTCAATAAATAGGCCCTGGGCCATGTAGCCTAGTTGGTTAGAGCGTCATCCCAATACACCAAGGTTGCAGCTTCAATCCCTGGTCAGGGCACATACAAACATCAACCAATGAACGTATAAATAAGTGGAACAACAAATCGATCTCTCTCTCTCTCCCTCCCCCGCCCAAACCAATTTTTAAAAAGTTAAAAAAAAGTCAATAAATATTACCTCTTATTATAATTGCTGTCATCAGCTTACAGAGCTGTTCAGAGGGTTTGATGAGACAAGACACTGTCAGTGCCTGGCACACAGTAAGTGCTCAATAAATGCTCACCATTTTGTTGTTGCTGTTTTAATAAACGTAGAGCCTGTGAAATGCATTCATTCCTCTTCACTCACCGGAGAGAGGCTCCTGCTCCTGTGTGCCCTTCAGTAATTCCCTGGCCCTGCATTGGAGGCCAGGTTAGAATTCCAGCTCTGCTCTTATTTGCTGTGTAGCCCTGGGCAAAAACTTTACCTCTCTGAGCCTTGATTTCCTCTTCTGCATAACAGGGAACACTTCTAATATTTGCACCTATTATGGTCCCTAGAGAACTAAATGAGCCAATCATATAAATTCTGTTTTGAACACCCACTAACTGCCAGGCACTCTGCTAAGCATGGCCTTTCAATACGGTGCCTGGTTCACCATATTTACTATTTTTCAGGCAGAATCCCTTTGAGAAGGAGGTTGAGGAAGGACACTGGCCACTTACTGACTGCCTACTGTGTGCCTGAAACTCTCATCAGTCATCTCCTGAATCAGCCCCATTAGACTGGCCCTAGGATGACCCAGTTTCACAGAGAGGGAAACCGAGGCTTGAAGACCTCCCACTGCCCTGGAGACGGAAACTGCGATCCCCTCGTCCCCGGAAAGGCTGAGGCCGAGGGTCCGAACCCGGCCGCCCCGCCGGGGCCAGGCTCGGGCCTCGAACCCGGGTCCAGCCCGCGGACCTGCGTCCTCCGACCCCACCAGGCTACCGGTGCGCACCTGAT